GCGAGACACAATTCCGCCGCCTACACGAAATTCGCCGGGCGTTGCAGACGCCCACGGGACAATAACGATGAGAGTAAAAGTCCAACGGCGGTAAAGGAATCCTATCGATTTTGCAATGCGACGATGACGAGATATTTTAAATGTGACATCGAATGCGACTGCGTCGCGTACAACGTGGAACGAACTTGCCATTTCCCACGTACGCCTCGCACATCGCTGTAACGAACGGGTGATAAAGGATTAAGAGATTGCATAAAGTCTAACAGAAAGACGACGAGAGAAGGCGAACGAGTAGTGGTCATCGAACGTGGCGGATTAGAGATTCTCGTATAAGGATCTGCATATCTTCAACACGATTGGTCAAACAAGTCGATTACAGAACTAATAATTATAATATTAGTTATATTTTTTATACATAATATCATTCTGTGACTAGATGATATTTATAATATTTTGCTAAATGCTGTTATCATATTTAGTCTAGTGTTAAGAATTTTAATTGGCGGGGAGTATAGTAAGGATGGTAGTAAAACGCCGATATCGGTTAAATAGGATTAACATGTGCCTCGAGAAAAGGAGCGAGATATTATTTTTACATAAAACGCGCGAGATTTATTTTAACGATATCTCGATGAGAAACGATATGGTATAAAACTAACGGCAATATCGACGGAAGGGACGCTTGTAAAATCAAGATGAGATCTAGATACCATTAATCGCGTCTTTAATCATGTGTTAGCGAATCGAGAACCGTGAGAAGTGCGAAATTTATTGTTTTAAATGATGCATTGTATCCAAGAGCAATATTTTCGTATACATCAGCTTATCTTTTATTTGTGGATTCTATAATCAATCTTGAATTATTGCTTCCTTAATGCAGTTTTCACATAAATCGCTATCTTTTTCATCTTTGGATTTTTACATGATTTACATTTTCGTAAATTCTCTCTATCTAAATATCTGTATCTTTAATGAAAAATGGATCTCGAATTGATTGGAAAATTTGTAGACCATAAGGACATTTTGATTAACAATCTGATGGTACTATTTGCATTCCCAGGAAAATTACAATGTGAGTACGTTACAGTAACTATTGGCGATAACTTCTTCCGTAATGAAGTACAAACAACGAAACTTGTGAGCAAAATGGAGAAATAACAGCTATGGAGGTTATATAAGGAATGCATAATAAAACAGTGTTATTATTCATGGGAAACTGAACATTCTTGTCCCTTATAACGATATAACGTTTTCATAATTTATATTCAAGAAATAATGTATCGCGTAAAGTCTCGTACAAGCATATATTTATGCGATAATTCTAACGATGAATGTTAGCGGTAGATAAAAAAATTATTAAATCACTAGAGAAAATTACCTTTAAATTTATTAAATAATTTATGATTGTAAGGAATACGACTTATATTTTGATATATAATTCTGTATAAAGGATGTTAACATAATATCGCAACCATTATAAACAAGAAATTCATGATTCTTCTCAAACAATTGGATTTATTTTTTAAATAAGAATATGTAATTTTGTAATAATGTTGACAGCATCAAAACAAATAATTATGTATAATGCTATTTTTCTTGTTTTCTACGGGCAATTTTGAGCAATTTTATTAAAAAATTAGTATTCTTTAAATTTTTATTATTGGAACTTGTCCTTTGTTAAAAGAACTATTTTTAAATTTATATTTTTTTTTTGTCACGAAATATTAGAAGTGGTTCGAGAATTGTGGTGACCATTATGGTAAGAAACCATATATGTATAAACGTAACATTACATTATATCGTAATCACTACCAGAGTTACTCTACATAGACTCTCTTTAAGAATAATATTCCTTACACGCATGTATAATTTCCAAGCGCGTTTCTCACGCGTCTTCGCGCGAATATAATCAGGCTCGATAAGCAGAAATCGATAGTGGATGCGAGCCGGTCATCAAGCCGGCCGCGAAAGGGGTAAGTGCGGCAGGTATATGCGGTTCGTTAAAAATCTCGGATCGACAAGCACGGATGTGGATGTCGGCTTGGCCGCCACTCGCCTCGCTGAATCGCGTTCGTCGAGAAACGGGTTCGCCAGAAAAAGGAAGGAAACGAGAAAATAGGATACGATTGAAACGCGCGTACGCGCGCGATAGCGAATCTCTGATACAATCGACGAGATTCTGCGCGCGAATCTTTAATCGAATCCCACACTGCAGCAGCAGTTAACCGCGGATGCATTTTGTCATTGATTTTACGGTTCTGTACTGCGTCCCGTATTTGGAAATGTTTGCCGATGGTAGGTTGGCGTTAAGTTCATGTTAAAAAAAAAAAAAAATAACGTTCCTATTTATAGCTCCTGTATCGAACGCGATGAATATTGGGAAAAATTTATGTCGAAGCAAATTTCAAAGAAATTTTGCTTTAATATTTCAACATCGGATGAATGTAAAATCGACAGGTGGATGTAAAATCGGCGTTCTGCCAATAACGGTCGCAAATTCTTATCCGTTGATTGATCTCGGGAGCGCTAAGAAGGAAGATAGTAATCTCGTCGAAGCGATGATCCATCAGAACGTTGACGGTTAAAAGTGACGGATAGATTAGCGAGTGGGTGAATTTACGCCAAGATTTTATAGCCGCAATAACTTTTACCTCCTTCGTTCTTCTGCAAGTAACTGAAAGACGTAACTGTTACACTTTCTTAAACTCCAATTAAGAAATTAAACTACGGAAGTTAAATTATTTTAATTACCATATATCTTACGTCGAATGTCAACATGTTATGCTGATAATCACATGCACAAAAATGAACAGCCTCAATCAATCTCACAAGCATTTTTTCACGAATATTGATTGATGTATAGCGCTTATCTATAGGAATGACAAAGGCTGGCTAACGGTGGCAAAGATACTAATTAAAATTCGCTATCTTTAACTGAAAGCCGTAGATCGTGACCGTGAGATCTATTTAATCCCGACTTGTATTAGAAATGTATCAAGCGTGCGATGGGAATTTGTTCTAGCCTGTCTCACACGGCAAAAAGGACGATCAACGCACTCGGATGTTCGAGAGCTACGTAGCCTGATCGAGATAGAAATTAAAAGCGAGTAGATCAAGCTCTTCATGCGTCTCTCCATCTTCGCTCGAATCAGCTTTCCCCCGGTCATCGTGAAAAGGCGTTCGATTTTCTCTTATCTTTGCCGTGCCCTACATCCCCCGATAATAAGTCTACGCAATCGATAACCACTAATCTGCGTTTCGATCCCGTCTTTTCTTTTTTGCTTCCCAATGCGTGCCGCAAACGTGTTATTACCAGCGGTGAAAATCTCGCCGAACCATAAACCGAGTTGTTGGCGTGGACTTTTCCTCCTTTCCTCGCATCGAATTACAGACCATAATTTGTCCCGTGATGCTGGATACAAAGTTGCTCGTCGGCCAAATTGTTGCTCGTGATTGCGCTGCGAGTTTCGTTGAATCAGGGCTGTGAAAAAAGAAGACAGGATACATCGATCACGCAAATCACGGTTTTAATTCTGCGACGTGTAAAATTGATCTCATGTAATAAATTTTTAAAATATTTCTAAATTAACCTTAAAAATTAACTTTTAAATATTTTAAACATACACGGGATGTAAAAATAATTGGATCAAAATAGATTATTCTACATCTATTTGTCTATAAATAGTTCTAGTGATAAAAGAAAAATTAAGAAACATAAATTTTCACCTTTAATAAGTTGCACGTTAAAGTTTAAACTGAAATTATTCAGTTATTTCGATTTTTGAAAGTTATAAATTAAGTTATTGACGAAGTAAGCGATTAATATTTGTGAAAAGATGAATTGAAGTTGTACTCTATTTTGGAAATAAGAGATGAGTTGTTACTGAATTAAATTAAAGAATAATTTAACTTTGCCAATTTCTTGTTTTACGCTTTATAACTTTGTTAAGTTATTAAGTTCATAAAAAGGATTATAAGAGAATTTCTCTCACAAACTCTTATTAATCCTTAAACTATAGCGAGGCACATATCCGATTATAGAACTTTAAATCCCATCTGCGTTCGCAACTATAGTTACAAAAGGTTCTGTAAGGTATTATCCATTTTGTGTTAAAACACGTGCACTCCAATTATATCACTAAAACTATACGTATCGATCTAAATGCATATCAATCGATTCTATAAAATATAATTCATATACTTTTTTTTTCATCTATTCACATATATATAAAAAATTATTTATTCACTTGAAAAGTACGATCTGCGATACCAAGGTTCGAAGACACGAACGATAAATACGAGAGAGGAACGAAAATTCGTCGTGGACGTGAGTTCATGCGTTCTCTCCGGATCTAACGATCGGTGATCGAGAGAGATCGCAGTACAGACGAAGAGCAGCTTGATATTCGTCGGATGCGCGTCGCCGAGCCCGGCCGCGTATGAGCGCGGAATAAATTATCCCCGTGAGTCGGGATGTCTGTTTCTTCTGCTTCTCTCTCTTTCCTCTTAACGTTCACTCTCTCTCTCTCTCTCTCTCTCTCTCTAAAACTATACGTATCGATCTAAATGCATATCAATCGATTCTATAAAATATAATTCATATACTTTTTTTTTCATCTATTCACATATATATAAAAAATTATTTATTCACTTGAAAAGTACGATCTGCGATACCAAGGTTCGAAGACACGAACGATAAATACGAGAGAGGAACGAAAATTCGTCGTGGACGTGAGTTCATGCGTTCTCTCCGGATCTAACGATCGGTGATCGAGAGAGATCGCAGTACAGACGAAGAGCAGCTTGATATTCGTCGGATGCGCGTCGCCGAGCCCGGCCGCGTATGAGCGCGGAATAAATTATCCCCGTGAGTCGGGATGTCTGTTTCTTCTGCTTCTCTCTCTTTCCTCTTAACGTTCACTCTCTCTCTCTCTCTCTCTCTCTCTCTTTCTTTCTCGCTGTCCAACTATCTCACTCGATTGCTCTGGCAATTGCTCTAGTCGTTTGTTCATCCCTCTCCGCTCGTCGTCTTGCTCTCTCCCACCGTCAAGGCGACTATAATGACTCCTCGTGGTGGGACGATACCGGAAGTGAAGTCAGAACGGCGGAACCAGACGTTCACTCAATGGAAAGTTTGAGCTCTACCGGCAAGCGTGGCAGCTCTCTAAAAGAGGTGGCTATACACACTCGCACGCGTCACTCGTTCCAGCGCGAAGGAAGGAAAATCCGCTTCCTTCGACCGGCGCATTCGACATTCGCGTGGACGCGAGTCACGCGCGAACAGCTTGCGCGAGGAAAATCTGTGCACATCGATCCGAGATTGAAAGTGTGACGTTTTGAAGAAAATTGATTAAGCATTCAATGAAAGCTGCGGGTGTTAATATTCGGTCGGATATCCAGTACGCGAAAGGAAGATTAGGAAGAGGACAAGGGATCGGAGAAAAGTAATCCGAGGATTCAAGAGCGATAACGTGAATTGATTAAGGACTGAATTAGAAGAGACAGATGGACACTGATTTAATTTGATGTGTCGTATTGACTGAGAAACTTTTATCGAGATCGATGAATAAGAAACTAAGAAATTAGACGCCCGCGAAAAGAGTAAGTGAATATTAATCGAGAATCCTGATCGAGAGAATTCAAATTGATTTAATCAAATGATAGACTTAAGATGGATGATAGATCAATCAAGTAGAAAAGAGGCATACACAGCTAAGTTAATGCATAATGAAAAAACGAGAAACATTTATTCGGGGTTGCATTAACGTCGCAAATAAAGTACGTTTTATTGTGAAGCACCGGAAGTCTCGGGGAGCAGCAAATAACATCGTCGAGTAATCAAGGCAGCGGTTGAATAAATTGGATCGTACTGGATATTACAAGAACTGTCGAGAGAGAAAGAGAGAGAAGAGAAAAAAGAACACTTAAGGAAGCTTGCCATTAAGCTATGACAAAGAAAAAGTTTTCTCTCCGCGAAGAAGGAAGAGGACGATAAATTTGCGGGAGATATTATACATTAACTTCCATTTCGGGAACAGTGCGTGGAAATGTAAAAACGCCAACGTATTTGTGATAAATTATTTGTAGTTTCATCTGGAAAATCGAAGAAAATGATCGGCGCATTGTTTCGAAATGTTTTTGCCAAAGTAAATACGTTGGGAATTTAGATTTGTATGCGAGAACATTCTCACAAAATAAAAGCAAAGAAAAGTTATTCTATAATACATAGTCGACTTCAAATGTGCGTTTTCTTTTCGTGCGCAACATGAAAAATAGGCGAGTTTTCACCGTGCCGAACAATAAGCATTTTCGCGTGAAAGTGATGACAGAGAGATGATGACAGTCTTTGGGAAAAAAAAACCTGTGTGATTTCGTGGGTGAGACAAAGAGTTCTCTGTGAAACGGAAATTCATCGCAAAGAATGCTAATTAACCCAATTCCTCTCGAGGAGTTGTGTTACAAAACAACGTACGTTTTAATTCATTGTATTATCGGTCTGTGTTTCCTTAATTAAAATGATATATTGTCTCAATCATAGAAAGGATGCAGGAAACCAAAAACTTAAATTAATGTACATACTTTAATGAGAAAAGAATGCCCGGTCTTCTTCCGTGTGCAAGAAATTGACGAAACTATTTTGAAATGTATGGTACAAATTAATGAGCTTGGTAATTTTACGAAGTGCTCGTCGTATCCAACGCAGCAGCTGCAGTCTGTCATCATCGAATCTCTTCCTCGTGCAAAACGAGAAATTTGCTGACGTGTGACGAAGGGACATTTAATTCGAATTACATCTTGGGTGGTCCTCATTCAAGCCTTAGTCGTCATCTGTACATCTTTCTCGTGATTGAAACATTATATTTTCCGACGATTTGGGACACATTTTAGACCTTAAATCGTAGAACGACGATTATAGTAATCGACTATGGGCGCGGGAAACCTATGGAAGAGTGCATATTATCCGAAGAAACACGCATCAAATTGATGGGACGTTGTTTGTCACTATCGTTAACTTCGTTCGAGGGACCATCCAGGGTGAAAACAAGGGACTCGAAGTGCATTCGTGAAAGTATTCGTCAGAGATGGTCAGCCAACACGCGATGGCCACCACCGTCCGCAAAGTTAAGCAGGAGAATCGTCTCAGGCGGCAGAATCAGAATCAAGGTATATAAATATATAAGCGGTGGTTAATAGACAACAGGCGTTCGCGAAACACGCTTATGCATAATATAACTTACACCCAATGGTAAACATGTTTGAAATGCAGACTATTTAAATAATTATTTGAATAATAGTTTGTTTAAATAAAATAAACATTTGTATTTTTCGTAAGAATGTAACAGAAAGCTACAAATATTATATAAAAAATATTTAAATTGCAATAACTAAAATTATTTATTAAAATAATAGATTTTAAAAGAAATACGCGAGAGAGAGAAATATATATATATATAAATTTGATATATTTATTTCTGATTTATAAAATAAATTCCAAATCTTTGAAAATAAAATTTTAATTAACATATAAACATTATTATTTTACTAAATATAATCATTTATAACCCAATAAAGAAAAAATAACTTGCGTAAATATTTTTATTTTTTATTTCAGATATTATTTTGTCCACTTTTGTTTTTTTTTTTAGATCTTCTTATCCCGGCGATATAAAGCCTTGTCGCGATCTAGTTACGTAGAAACACGTATATCATACGGTTGTATCTTCTGGAAAATTAACATAATTATGGCGTTGTAGTAATATAAATATGACGTTAGATTTATATTTTTAATATAACGTAATGCAAATATTAATATAACGTAATGTAAATATATACGCATGTAGCCGATTATATTATAATATGCGTAGTTCTTTAGTGCATAAATCGAATAAAGCGAAGGAAAAAATTGAAGAATCAAGTATATTTATAAGCAAAGCTCTAATTAACACGCAGTAATCGTACCATACGCTGTGTAGCGTAGTTTGTTATTTACGTGGTTAGGCAATTTGATATTTTATCAACTAAATGGCCAGTTTACGTAAATATTATCGCGCAAAATTTTCATCGTCCTTAATGGAGGAGTATAGCTTGTGTTTCCCATCTAGGGATATAAAATATTCTTGACGTAGTTTTCAGTGTACCTATGTATAATACATAGCAATTTCCTATAATATGCCTTGCCTTTGAATAAATTGTTTAACACATTCACGTCAGGCGTACGGATGTTCTACGCTGCGTCGCTGTGGTGCTGAATATATTAGAATTTATTTCACCACTTTGTGTCAATTTTATTTCGTGTTCAAAATGCACGAAAGCAGTGTACAATACACACTTTAAAAAAAGTATACGATAACATTATTATTCTATATGAAAAATTTTATTAAAAGGTTAAATATAATTTTTTTTTTTTTAACAATGAATTAATAAATATTCTTAAATCGTATATTTTTCTTGTTACAGATGAAGAGGGACCTTACAAGCCAGTGCCACCGCCGAAGCCGGTGTCGAACAATCAGAAGAATAATCAGGACGGTCAGCAGGACGAGCAACGGGAACAGACGGTAGTCGAGCGTTTGTCATTGCGAACGACTTCCGGTCCGGAAAGGACCAGCGTCGCGGAGAACGGGCAGGTTCGAAGCGCGTCCGGGCAGCCCTTTGCGCCGGAATACAGAATGCCACCTTTGTACGGGGAGGAGCAGAGTTCGGGTCAGGCTCAACAGGCGGCCAGTTTGCAGACTCACAGCAGCAAGTTTCCGGTAAGTGTGATAATAAATAATGAAGTTATGATATAAATTTTATTAATTATTTTCCCTCGTTGAGATTGCTTTCTTTTAAATTTTCTTAATTTATAATATTAATTATATCTTTTCTTTATCTTTTCTTTATTTTTATTCTTTTGATAACGATTAAAATAGAATGCAATTAATAGAAACGTGTATATTGTGTAGTTATATTTA